CACCCTCGCACAAGATGGCCGCCCCCATTGCAGGGGAGGGCAGTTAGGGGCAACCAGGCCAGAAGGGGAGGGCAGTTGGGGGCGACCATGCCGACAGGGAGGGCAGTTGGGGGCGATCAGGCCGGCAGGGAGCAGTTAGGCATCGATCAGGCTGGCAGGGGAGTGGTTAGGGGGTGATCAGGCTGGCAGGCAGAAGCAGTTAGGGGCAATCAGGCAGGCAGGCAGGCGAGCGGTTGGGAGCCAGCAGTCCCAGATTGTGAGAGGGATGTCCCAGATTGGAGAGGGTGCAGGATGGGCTGAGGGACTGAGGGACACCACCCCCCCACCCCCCCCCCCGTGCACAAATTTCATGCACCGGGCCTCTAGTATATTATATTACAAATTGATACATTGGTAGTGCTTCATTGGATTCTAAACAATTAAGTATACTTATAAAAGTTTTATATTTACAGATCACTTTCTTCAAATCAGCCAGCATCAGTGACTGATTATCAAAATGTATCTTTTTCAAACCTAACTGTTAATACATCATGGCAGAAAAAGTCAGCTTTTACTCGCACTGTGTCCCCTGGATCTGTGTCCCCTATTCATGGACAGGTATGGATCTTTAATATTTTTTGCTTTATTTTTTGACATTGCTCCTGATTCATATAAAATAGAATGAAGATTTTTGTACAAAGGCATCATTTACTAGTTTAACCAGAGTTGGTAGCACTTAGTTTTGTTATCATTCACATGTGATATGAAGAAATTATTACTTAGAGGTTTTTCAACAATTCATTCTCATGGTATCAAGCTGTTAGCAGCTAAGACTTCTAACCTCAAAATACCATTTTTACAAATCAGATTATAGTGTTCTTAATTTGTAGTTATTTTAAGAAGAGATTTGGACTTGGGGGTTTTTGTTTTTTTGTCTTTTTCTTAAGTCATTTGTGTGGGAACTGTGTTAGGTATATTTAGCCTCTAACTTAGATAGAACTATTGCAAGCATTGTTAATTAACATTATTTTTAAAAATTGCAGACTTCGTCAGAATAGAGTCCTAGAGATTTCACCTTCACTCAAAAAAATGTTTATTGTGTGACTGTAGGTTCCAGGCATTTTATTATGTGCTAGAAATTTAATGGAAAAAATCCCTGCCATTGAAAAGTCATAATCTAATGAGACAGACATATAAATAAATAACTGTAAAGGTTTTAATTATGAGGAACTGCAAAGGTTTTAATTATGTCAGCACCGTTCAGAAATCAGAGAAAATAATGTTTGGAAGAAGCTTTTGGCTTTTTGTTATTGATGACCTCAAGAAGAAGTATAATGGGTGCAAAACCTAAATTAGAATGGACTAAGGGGTGAAATTGGAAAGCAAGTTTAAGACTGTTCTTTCTTTAAGAAATTTGGAAGAACAAGTAGGTAGAAAAGTAGAGAGATGGAAGAGATAGAAGATTCAGGAGAGGTACTTGACAGTGTAACACTATTTTGAGAAAATTGGAGTGCGTACAAGATTAGAGCAGAGGTAAAGAGATTAGCCTTGCCAGCCAAACAAAACCACTCCTCCTCTGAGGAGTCACCTGAGTCCATTGCCGGAGGAGACATTGGACACTGGAGGAGAGACAGGCTTGTAGTAACTTTCCCTTTTCATTTGTTCTATTAGATACAGAGTAGCCAGTGCTCACTTTCTGTACCAGTGGCACTTAATGCCAAGATTTGTCCTTGCCTGGTAGGCATTCAGTCTTTAACTTACCAGAAGGCTACTCAGATGGTTGTCTGTCATATACAATTTTAAATCAGTAGATTAAGGTTGTCTTAAGTCACCATCTATCTATATATATAAAAGCCAAGCAAGTGGAATGACCAGAACCACCGGTCACTATGACGTGCACTGTGGCCAGCCAACTGGCCCGATCAGGGCCCCGATCAGCCCCCACCCCAAACAGGGATGGGGCTGGCCAGCCAACCTCCCACGGCCCCTCCCCCCAGCCAGCTGTGTCCCCTCACCCCAGCCGGCCCCGCCCCCGATTGACCCCCCTCAATGCTATTGGGGGCAGGACCGGCTGGCCAACCTACCATGTCCCCTCCCCCTGACCGGCATGGGCCAGCTGGACCCCACCCATACATGAGTTCGTGCACCGGGCCTCTAGTTAGTTATAAGTCACCACCATACCAAACTCATCTGCTGTTTGAACAGGAAGTATATCCTGATTATTAATGTTTTGTTTCTAATTTTGTGGTTTTGTATTCACAGGGACAGGTTGTAGAAAACCTAAAAGCACAGGCCCTTTGTTCCTGGACTGCAAAGAAAGATAACCACTTGAACTTCTCAAAACATGATGTTATTACTGTCTTGGAGCAGCAAGAAAATTGGTGGTTTGGGGAAGTACATGGAGGAAGAGGATGGTTTCCAAAATCTTATGTCAAAATCATCCCTGGGAGTGAAGTCAGACGGGAAGAGTAAGCATTTCTGAGTGTTCTCACGAGGTGTGGATGTTGGTGCTTCACTGATGAGTCAGCCTCCTGGTTCAGAGGTCATCACTCAACCACTGAGCTACACTGGCCAGGCAGTGCTTAAAAGACATAATTTTTTTTATTGTCTGATGTTGTTCAGTAATATATATATTTTAATGTTGTGTGCTCTAAACAAATAGTAAGATTTATGTATTACCCTTGTTTTTCCCTATACTGATTCATGCTTCATATGTAATGTACCAAATAACTGCCCATTTGTTAATGCACTCATGTCTTTTTTTTTTTAATTGATTTCAGAGAGGAAGGGAGAGGGAGAGAGAAATAGAAACATAAATGATGAGAGGGAATCATTGATCGGCTGCCTCCTGCATGCCCCCAGCTGGGGATTGAGCCCACAACCGGGCATGTGCCCTTGACCAGAATCAAACCCTGACCTCCTAGTTCATAAGTCGACACTCAACCACTGAGCCATGCCAGCTGGGCACTTAAGTCTTTTAAGTCTCTTTAGAAATGCAAAATAATAGCACATTTGAAAAACTGTTGATAAATCATGTTGAAATTACTTTGATATATTTAAAAATTGAGAAGTTTGATATTTGGCAGTTCTTACTCTAGGATTTTGTGTATGAGAATATTTGTAGCCTGTGTACTGAGGTAATAGTTAATTTTAGAAAGCCCTAAAAAATGTGCTGTTAACACCCGCTGTATTCATCGAATACCTTTCTTGTTTTTTGATTATTGATGTCCCTTTTTGTTTCTTTGTTTTATCTGTTTGTGTGTTTATTTGGCAGGCCAGAAGCTCTGTATGCAGCTGTAAATAAGAAACCTACCTCCACAGCCTATACAGTTGGAGAAGGTGAGCTTTTGACAATTTGTATATTAGATGGGAGTCAGATTACCAACTAACTTCCCACAGTTGTCATTCTCCATACTTCTCTGTCTTCGTTGTTGAAGTGAGGTTAGGAAAACCAGCCCCTTGCCTATTTCACATGAATATTGAGGATATATAAAACATATGACTGAATATACTTGACACTTTTAAAAAATCATTACTATAAAATTTCACCATACACCTCCTCGATAAATAAGATCATAAATAAAAAGTATTGCAATGAGATAGCACAAAAGTTTTTGTTTTCCTGAAATTATATATCCACATTATTGATGTTTAGGTTGTAAAGAAATTTTAGTATGTTTAGTTTATTTACGAATTGCATTTTAATTACAGTGTACCATATAAATCATTAAGTAGAATTTGAAATCAAAATACACTTTATTATAAATATTACAAAGAATATTTATAGCCCTTAGGATTGTTTGACTAATAAATTATTTTGATCTTGTTATTATGCTGAAAAATTAAATAAAGATTGTCTGCTGTCTTTGCAGACATTTTTTCCCCCATGAATAGTTACAATACAGGGTGGGGCAAAAGTAGGCTTACAGTTGTGAGTACATGAAACAGGGTTTCAGTATCTTCAGTATCTTCAGTATCTTCTCTAATTAGAGATTCTGTGCTACAGCTTGAAATATACAAGGATGAATAAAACACAGCCTCCAAACTCACAGAAGAATGGGGAAAATAGGCATACACTTGTAATAAATTCTCTAATGAGTGAACAAAACACAGTGTTGAGTAGGCCCTGAGAATCCACAGAGGTGGCATCCTATTAAACAATGAGTAGGCCTTGCACAGTGACAGAGGAAGAAGATCTTGTGGACAGAGGGAATGTCATGAGCCAAGGCATCATTGTGAAAGGGAGTTTCAGGTCACCAGCGAGGCTGGAACCCCACATTTACTGTGGAATGAGTGTTGTGAAATGAGCCTAGCAAGGTAGTGAGGAACAATTTGAAAAGGACCTGGCTTGTTGCAGCAGATCCAAATTTTATAATCATTTTTATTTTGTTAAATCAGCTAAATTGGCTAATACTGGGAATGTGAATAATAAATAGGTTCTAGATCAAGCATGTCAAACTCGTGGCCCACAACGAATATTTTTGCAGCCCAGCCAATATAACAGTATGTAAGAAACGTTTTAATAAAAATTTTGTAACTTAATTTTTAAAATATCCTGTTATACATAATCTATAATAATAAAAGCGTAATATGCTAATTAGACTGGACATCCTTCTGGACGACCTTTCAGGTGAAGCCAGGGCTGTGAGGGAAGCCAGGGTCTCGGGTGCCAGAGGGAAGCCGGTGCCGGCAGCCAGGGGAAGAAAGGCCTAATCCTGCATGAATTTTGTGCATTGGGCCTCTAGTTATTAATAATGAACTACAACATTCGCTAATGACTGATTACTATAATTGTGTTGCATTCATTTCCCTTACATGCCTTATGCGCAGGCACACCATTTCTTTCCACTAATACTAGCAGCGAATATTTTAGCAACCAATTGCCACGTCATTAGTCTTGTACTGACTTGTTTGGTGTGCGCAACAGGAAATATTTCGCTTTCGGAGAACAGCAAAATAGCTTTATTTGCATTACACTTATTAATTTGTGCAGTTATTCAGTGTCTATTAAGTAAATGCTCAAGAAAAAATACTAATTTTTATTAAAATGTTCTATTATTTTATGTTAACAATGACTCGTTTATTTCAGCCCTTTGTGTTCAGCATGTCTCTATTGAAATAAGCTTATGTTTCTATGAAAATTGAAGCTTTTGTTTTTTTGCGGCCCACATAAACTTAAACCTTGTTTATTTGGCCCATGTGAGCCTTTGAGTTTGACATACTTGTAGGTGGTGTTTCTGGTCATCTCCAGTTGATGATGTATAGATCAAATCCCATGTTGACAAATTAAAACCCTAAAGAAAGAAAGATCTCAAAAACCTGGTCATTGACTGCTTCTCCTAAATTTGCAATCATAGGAACCAAAAACAAAGCCAGTATTAAAAGTTAGACATTTCACTCAAGGTCATTCATTACGAAATATTTATTGAGCTTCTACTCCATGCCACACACTGGGCTAAGAGCTGAGTCCTTGTGATGGAATTTGGCCTCTAATATTGATGTCGGCTGAATATTGGGCATTTCTACAGGTGTGTATATAAAATAATTAAAGAGAAAACAACAGATTAGAATATATTTTCTGTAAGAGGTTAAATTTTTTTTCATATTTTGACTCTATAAAGTGGAGATACTGATATATCTTTGTAGTTTTGGGGTTATTCTCTGTGATATGATGATAATGATGGTAATGATGATGATACAATTAAAAAAAAGAAACCCCACAATAAAGGTTTTTGTGAAATCAAATCTTTTTCTAATAAATTACTAAATAATTGCTTCATTCTTTTTTCTGTCTTAATATCTCTTTATATTGTTTCCTTACATCATAAGATCTTTTACAGTAAATTTATTCAGGATCTTAGAAATTAACACAATTTTTTAACTTCTGCAATTTTTCAACCAAAATTCGTTTCTTTTTGCTTTGTTTCCTACAGAGTATATTGCACTTTATCCGTATTCAAGTGTAGAACCTGGAGATTTGACATTCTCAGAAGGTGAAGAAATACTGGTGACTCAGAAAGATGGAGAATGGTGGACAGGCAGTATTGGAGATAGAACTGGAATTTTTCCATCAAATTATGTCAAACCAAAAGATCAAGAGGTAGAGTTCATTCCATTTTGTTTATCAAGGTTTATACTTAAAACAGAGACTCATGAATATGGTTTTGGTCAGGCTGCTTTGGTTACTAGAAAACCACTCAAGGTAGCTCCAGTAAAATAGAGTTTATTATAGGGATCCTGTTAGAGAGAGAAGGGAGGCAGGATTTGATGAAATTCAAAGAACAAGAGACATAGGTATGGCTGGGCTTCATGACAACTCCCATAATCAGGGAGGCTTTATAAGGAACCATCTTGAAGGAGTTTGTAAATCTTTAAGATTCTGACATTAATGTGACTCAGCCTATATTGAGTTCCTATTTCTTTTTATCCCACTAATAATATCGTATACTGCAGCAGTACTTAAATTTTTTTGTTTCGGGAACTTTTTACATTCTTAAAGAGGTTTTTGTTGTTTGTTTTTGTTGTTGTTTTAATATATGGGCTATATCTAGTGATACTTTCCATAAAACTGAAATTTTAAAAATATTTTTGCCCTAGCTGGTTTGGCTCAGTGGATAGAGCGTCCACCTGCAGACTAAAGCAGTGGTCGCCAACCATTCGGACCTCACAGACCACCAGTGGCCCGCGGACCACTGGTTGGCGACCGCTGGACTAAAGAGTCCCAGGTTCAATTCCGGCCAAGGGCACATGCTGGGGTTGTGGGCTCAATCCCCCCTAGTAGGGGGTGTGCAGGAGGCAGCCAATCAATGATTCTCTGTCATCAATAATGTTTCTATCTCTCTATCCCTCTCCCTTCCTCTCTGAAATCAATAAAAATATATTTTAAAATATATATTTTTTAAATTTATTTTAACATAGAAAAGTTAAACTCATTGCATAGTAACATAAATAACTTGCTTTTTATGGAAAAAAACAACTATATATTTCCAAAAAAAATTTTAGTGAAAAGAGTGGCATTGTTTTGTTTTTGAAAACCTCTTTAATGTCTGGCTTAATTGAAGATAGCTAGATTCTCACATCCACTCTGCTTCAGTACTGTTACTGCAGCTGCATCCACTAACAGGAAAAAATTTAAACTCTTTCACTTCTTATTCAGATTCCTAAAAAGAGGAAATGTGGTTGGCCCAACTTATCCTGTAAAGTCAAACAGGTGATAGTTGCTGGAGTAAGGATCTTTTGTTCTTAGGTCAGGTTCAGGGGGGCCATAGCAAAAAAAATTAAAAATTAAAATATTTTATTTTTGCTCCTATGCAGCAGGAGCAGAACTCACATATGCCTTAATGCAGTGGTCAGCAAACTGTGGCTTGCGAGCCACATGCGGCTCTTTGGCCCCTTGAGTGTGGCTCTTCCACAAAATATCACGTGCGGGTGCGCATGTACAGTGCGATTGAAACTTCATGGCCCATGTGCAGAAGTCGGTATTTTGTGGAAGAGCCACACTCAAGGGGCCAAAGAGCCGCATGTGGCTCGCAAGCCGCAGTTTGCCGACCACTGCCTTAACGTATCCAGGACACATAGACTGTATGTGGTGCTAACATAAATGGGGCATATTTGGCCTGTGTAGTCACATTTAATATTCAGGAGGAATTCAGAAATGAGCTATTCCTGTTGTCGGGATACACATGAGTCACTTGTCTCTATAATGCTCTGTTAGCAGACCAGAACTCCCCACAAGTGTTGGATTCTTAACTTTTTTGGTTAATATAAGGTTAATTGTCATTTTGCTCTTCATTTAAAGAAACAAGAAACCAGGGAACTAGACGTCTCTAATTCCTAATAACCTTTGTACTTTTACATCTGGATTTTTGGAAAATGATAAAACAGTATGTCTTCTCCTTACAGAGTTTTGGGAGTGCTAGCAAATCTGGAGCATCAAACAAGAAACCTGGTATGTATAGTGATGAAATGAAAAAATTACTGAAGTGCTTCATAGCCTGGAATTCATAGTTTCTTTTTTTTTTTTTTTTTTTCAGAGATTGCTCAAGTAACTTCAGCATACGTGGCTTCTGGTTCGGAACAGCTTAGCCTCGCACCAGGGCAGTTAATACTAATATTAAAGAAAAATGCAAGTGGGTGGTGGCAAGGGGAGTTACAGGTAATAATCTTCAAATAACATGTATCGGTTTTTATGATAAAACTAGTGCATGCTCATTAAAATCAAAACTAATAAAAATTTTAGATCACCATTTAGAGGTAATCTACATGAACATGTTAGTGTATAATGATTCTCTCTAGTCTTTTCACTGTTTATTTTTAGCATAGTTGAATTGATATTATAAGTAATAATATATGAAGAATATTTTTCTCTAAAGACATAATTGTTTTCCAGTTATACCTGCTGTAATAAACCACAGGTCACCTTCTTAAAGGAAAGCATAGCATCATCTTTACCTGGGATAACCCCAGGCTTACAGCATGGCCTCTGGGAGAAAAAACATGGTCTAGGCTGTGCCCTGAGAAAACACTACCCATTGGACTTCCCCCTCATGATCTTATGTTTCTGAAACATCAGTGCAAAGAAAGGAAGTGCTGGCATAAATGAGCCTGTTTTTTGTCCCTGCAATATTAGCAGAGACAGTTATTGCATATGTTTTGATACAGAGTGTTTTTTTTCTCTCTCTCTACTAAAATTTCATTGTTAAAATTAAAGAGCATTGTAGGATTAAAAGATGATGAGAGGTACAATAGTTGTATTTTTATGTAAGATTAATATATGATTGTGATGAGGATAAACATAGCTTCATTCTTGCAAATTAGTCTTAGAATTTCTAAAGAATAGTGGATGTTCAAAATTCAGTACCTTTTTGAATAACCCCCTGAAATCCCACCTTCTGATTTGCTTTGAAGATTGACCCAACTAAGTGGGAAACATGGCTATCCACAAATTTTATTTGTGGTCTCCTGATTAACGAAGCTCCAAGAGGTGTTTACTGTGGGCTGTGCCATTTTAAGTGCTGACTTGAACTTATTACAAGAACTCTAGAAAAGTGTTTTTAGTTTATAAATATTACTTGTGTGAAATATGCAGATAATTCTGAGTCTGAAAGATCTCCAAATAGACTTCCACAAATAGTGTTTTTAGCTGCACTTTGAGCTGCATGTTGAATCTTCCAGTTGTTCGATATTGACCTGGAAGGCCAATGCAAAATTCAGGGCTTCCCAAGACCACCCTTACTTTTGACACCAGTTTTAAGTTTGGAGCTCTCTGGACCACTCTGAAGTTCAATAATTTGCTCGAACTCACAGGACCTACTGAAAGCTACAGTAGTCCCCAGTGGATGCCTGAAACCACAGATAGTACTGAATCCTCTATATACCATGTTCTTTCTTTTACATATATACCTATGATAGTGGTTAATTTATGAATTAGACATATTAAGAGATTAATAAAAACCAATAGAAAAAGTATAACAGTATATATTACAATAAAAGTTATGTGAATGTGATCTGTCAAAATATTTTATTGTACTGTACTTACCTTTTCACTTAAAGGAAGAACTTTCTAGCTTCTCTTTGGCATATCCTAATTGCCTGCATCACTACTCTTGCGCTTTTGGGCCATTATCAAATAAAATAAGGGTTACTTGAACACAAACACTGCGATGCCATGACAGTGGATATGATAACCTAGGTAATTACTGACTGATAGGCAGGTATTGCATACAGCATGGATACACTGGACAAAGGGATGATTCACGTCCTGGGTGTACAGAGAGGGATGGTGTGAGATTTTGTCACGTTACTCAGAACAGCATGCAACTCAAATCTGAAGAATTGTTTATTTCTGGAATTTATTACTTAATATTTTCAGACCACAATTGACTGTGGGTAACTGAAACTGTGGAAAACAAAACCATGGATTAAGGGGGACTACTGTATTATACTCATGGTTACAGTTTATTACAGCAAAAGGACGTAGATTAAAACTAGCCAAGGGAAAAGATGTATGGGGCAGGATCAGGAGGGTTCCAAACAGAGCTTCCTTGTTCTCTCCCAGTGGAGTCCTGATCAGCACTAACTTCTCCTTGTGACAGTACCCAGGGGACTGCCAACCAAAGGAGCTCACTGGAGCCTTGCTGTCCAGAGTGTTATGGGGGCTCTATCACATAGACATGGTTGGCTGCCTGTATGGCTGAACTCAGTCTCTCCAGAGGTTGAGTTCATACTACGTGACCCAGAGCACCCACCGTAAATCACATTAAGACTATCTGGCATGGTCAAGGCCCCAGGTAAACTCACACTCATCAGTCATGACATTCCAGAGGTTTAAAGATTACCTCCCAGGAGCCAAAGACAAAAACCAGACCTTTCTTTGAGCAAGGTTAAATTCTTTACTACACAGGATTTTTTTGCAGGTTTTGTTCATGTCTTAGTAATTTGTTTTAATCTCATCTTTCATACTCCTTTTGCTAATTTTACAGGCCAGAGGCAAAAAGAGACAGAAAGGATGGTTTCCTGCCAGCCATGTTAAACTTTTGGGTCCAAGTAGTGAAAGAACTACACCTGCCTTTCATCCTGGTATGGAATGAGTTAACTTGCGTTTCATCATAGAGAATTTTTGTTAAAACTCGCCAACTTCTCAGAATAGCTAACTCTGAAAAATATTAAAAATTTGTCCTTTCGCCAAAACCGGTTTGGCTCAGTGGATAGAGCGTCGGCTTGCGGACTGAAGGGTCCCAGGTTTGATTCCGGTCAAGGGCATGTGCCTGGGTTGCGGGCACATCCCCAGTGGGAGATGTGCAGGAGACAGCTGATCGATGTTTCTCTCTCATCGATGTTTCTGACTCTCTATCTCTCTCCCTTCCTCTCTGTAAAATATCAATAAAACATATTTTTTTAAAAAATTTGTCCTTTCTAGAGAACTTCCTTTCTAAAAAGTTCTGTGTAGAAACAGCCAACTGTTAAATGAATACTTGAACCTCTTCACTCCTTAAAATTTCTCAAAGTGGAATTACTGTACCATCAGACTTAAAGTGAAGAAGCAGTTCACTTAGATTTGTAACTGTAGTTTGAAAATGATAGTGTTTTTAAAACAGAATGGCCAAAGGAGGGTGGGAGAGAGCAACCAAAGGGCAATTTTAGGCAGATTTAACCTTTAATGTTAAAATAACTTATATCCTAGGGGAATTTTGACAGGTGAGCCTATAGGAATAATTAATTTGTTATCTTGTTTTTCTTTTTCTGGTAGTGTGTCAGGTGATTGCTATGTATGACTATGCAGCGAATAATGAAGATGAGCTAAACTTCTCCAAGGGACAACTTATCAATGTTTTGAACAAAGATGATCCTGACTGGTGGCAGGGAGAAATCAATGGGGCGACTGGTCTCTTCCCTTCAAACTATGTTAAGATGACGACAGACTCAGATCCAAGTCAACAGTGTGAGTAAATCAAACTATTTGCCTCTCAACTAGTGCAAAAGCTTTCATCTGCAGCACTGCATTTATTACTCTTCTGGGTCATATGTTAAACTCGGCACTCTTAGCAAATGTATATGAATGTTTAAAGTAAGAAATTGCCAAAGGAAAATTTCCACAATTTAGAAGTTATATTGCTTTATTTTAAATATTTGTTTCCTAGCTTCAGACCTTGCTATTAGATTTCATCTGAAAAACGTATCATTCTTTTATGGGTTCTTTGGTACGACAGCAGTCTATACTGCAATTTCCCTTTACCACCATCATTGCAGTGGGCAGTGATCTTTTTCAGCTTAATAAAGTAAGTATCCTACTTACCTATTAAAAATTACCCTTTTAGTGTATGTGCTATTAATTTTGCCACCCTTGCATTTATTTCCCACATATTTACACATCATCCAATTAAGAATAAAATTTGAAAACTATTTAAATTGACTGTTTTCAAAACTCTCCTTAGATGATTATTTACATGGATACCTCATGCCACAAGAGTTACATGAATCAAGATCTATTTCACTGTTTTTAGAACAAGGGTCCAGATCTCTAAGTGTGATATTTGGTATTACATCAAATTATCCCTTGGTAGTTATCTAGCCTTTCTTATATTTGACAGTAAACATGAATTAATAGTAAATTAGAGAACAGACAGTACTTGGACATACTTTTACCTTTATAAAATGGATGTCACTGTCCTCCATCTTTTGGATTTTTTTTTTTTTTTTTACAAAATACTCATGATTTATAATTTTATCATTCTTGAGAAATTATCTAATAAATTTAACCTTTCATTGTAATTTAGTTTTTGAGAGGATATAAATGGTAACCAAGTCAAAGCTGAGATATGCTTACAATTCAGTGCAAGTATTGCGAATTTCTTTTGTACTATAATTTTGAAATATTCATGCATTATTTTTACTTTGGAGCTTGTAAAGATGGTCCTCACCCGGAAGAAGACTTTCCTTTAGATAACACAACTAAATTTCCCAATTTGGAGGTGGGAGGAGTCCAGTTCTTTATGGTTTGAACATCCCCAAATATATCTCAGGGTTTCAGGAGAAGTGGTAAACTAAAATATAACAACCTGGGTTACCTAAATGAATGACCATTTTAAGCTCTGCGGATGGTTTGGCAGTTTTGGGTGCTTGCCAGTTGATGTGATCAATTAGGAATGCCTGAGGCACCTTTCCTGAATCAGAGAGAGGAAGAGACTTTCAGACCTGCTGGGTCTGGAAGAGCTGTGGCTAGTGATCCCTGAAGGCATTCCGTATGTTCATACATTTGGTTTTTATAGTGTCTATGATGTAAAGTGATGGTTGTCCAAAGGTTTCGTTGTTGTTGTTGATCTTTTTTTCTGTGGTGGAACACTTTTTCCAATTAAGCCTCTCTAAGGAATATAAAGAACAAATAAAAGCTGTTCTAAAGGAAGGACAGCCAGGCGTGTATGAGTCAGTAAAAACTGGTTAAATTTTAGATTACCATTTGCATTTCTTGGGCCCTTAGAAGTATTATTTTCATTTCCTTATGTAATTAGTATATAGTCAGTGTGCCGCATAACGACATTTCTGTCAAAGGCAGACCTAGATATTAGGCTGTACCATCTCTGTGTAAGTGCGCTTTGTGATGTTTGCACAGTGATGAAATCGCCTGATGTTGCATTTCTCAGGAAGGATCCCCATCGTTAAGCGGCGCATGATTGTATTTTTTAAAGGTTGAGAATAGTAATAATTCAAATTTGTTACTAGTTGATGTTGCATGTTATAGTCAAATTTTTTCTCACCCCTTAATTTGCTTTATGTTCATTTTATTCCTCATTTTTCTTTTTATAGGACCCAATGTTGTCTTCCAGTGTGAAAGCACCCCAGAGACCCACTATCCAAGTTTGACTCTAGCGTGGAGGCAGGGCAGGCAGCCCTGATCAAATATCTCCTACACAATCCGTTAACTTCGGTTCGAATGTTAGAGCCACTTGTGATTATTTCTTTGTGTTTCTAACTTACAGTTAACATTATTTGTAACAAATGAAAGGATAGTGGGTCTTTGTGTGGCTTTCCCTGCTGTTCACTCTGGCACCCTTTAGCATTTTTCTCCTTTTTTAATTTGGTAATTGTAGGTCATTAGCATGCACATTGAGTTTTCCCCGACATGGTGGGAATTCAAACACACAAAGACCCACTATTTGCACAAACTGTTCTCGCTGGTTTGGAATGAGCTGCCATGCTTTTCTATCTAATGTTATCGCAACTTGTATATTGATTACAGAATTCAGATTAAATTTGCTTATGTTTTGCTCTTATGTTTGATCAAATCCTAATACAGTGAGCTTTTAATTGGTTCAATGTGTGATTTGTCCCCAGATATGCACTGTTTAATTTGTTACTTTCTAATATGCCACTATTCAGTTTGTTAAATTCAATTTGTTAAATTTAAAGGCCAAGAACTGGAAACAACCTTTTATGTATTTTCTGTGTATTTGGGGGTAGAAGCAATAACATTTTTGGGGAGCTTTTCTTATCTCAGAAGAGGACAGTGGCCTGCCCATCAGTATGTGCAGAATGGGATATGTTTCATCGGTTAAGTTGCCCAGGAATGAGCACAGTGCTGTGGTAGTGACCTTAGATCTTTATGTGCTGTGGACATGAAGATACTACATCATGTCCTGCAGCAGTTAGTTGTTACTTCTTCATTAATGACCTAAAAATATATTATTTTGGGGGAATGAAAGGCTCCCGTCACTGACCATGAGATATGAAACTTTCCCTAGCTTAGACTGAGTATTTATATCTACGATACATTTTAAAGTCAAAAATTCATGTTATCTATTTTAACTAGGTGACCACATGTTTCAGGTCACAAAAAGACACTGGTTGACATTCTTCTTAATATATTTAGATCATAAGGAATCTTTGAAGAGTTTAAATGCCCCTGAAGCAGGCACACAGGCTCCGTCTGCCTCGTCAGGAATGAATTCAGGTGAAGGAGAGGTGTGTGTGCTGGCATTCCTCCATGTCCATAGAGTGCTTTGAGGCTAGAAGATTGACTTTACCATCCAGAATTCTCTGGCTAATCTCTATTTAACCACATTGGCTACTTTGGCACAGGATTTTATTTTTTCTTGAATGGAAACACTTTAAAGATGCTAAACATTATTAAAAACTAATAAATGTGAGAGTACATAGCTAAAACAAAAAGGCATTTTAGTGGACAGTATTAAACTATTTTTGAAAATCAATGAGAAGCTTATGCAATTTATAATGTTTACAAACTGCAGTGCAATCTACTGTTTATGAATGTCAAAGTATTATCAGGAAACGTGTACATACAGTCACAGTCTTATTTCCTCACAGAGTTCTTTAAGAGTGAAATATGTTTTTATATCTTTGAGTTTAAGTTAAAAACATATATTGTGCAATATTTATGTTGATGTGCCTATACATTATAAATGAATGATTTCAGTTATACATTGCCTAAATCATAACTTTACAACACTTGAGAAAGAATCAACAGTTTAGTTAGAACTTCACAAAGTTCAAATGTCTGTGTTCCAAAATATTTCACATTATTGGGATGTATGGTGATATGTAGGTGTGCTCCCTGGGGTAGGGATTTGTAATTATCAGACCAGCTCGATTTTTAGTATTTGGCATCATTATGATACTTTTAAAAAATATGACATTAATAGAAAGCAATAATATCACTTTACAGGTGGAATAATAGATTCACCTGCAGTCAATAAAAGGGATAGTACAAAGGTTGTGTCCTTGTGAATTCAACCAATCCTTCAAATTGTACAGATTACTTGGTCTTGCCTTTTAATGTTCTGAGCTTTCTGCGTTTGCATCCTTTAGTTGGGTTCAGATTAAGGACAGTTACTTTAAGTCCATTATAAACCCTGAGATTAGAAATCACCACTGATAATTAGCCACATGATTTAGTATAACATTTCTGTATAATTATTTTTTGCATATGGACTTACCTAATATATTAATAAATTATTTCAAAGGTATTTTATAGTGCAGATCATTCACTTTTACACTGATGAAGTTTATTAAGAATGACATTCAGGTAGAGCTTAGCATCTGTAGTCAATTTGAAAAAACTGTATTCAAAGGTACCTATGGACTAAATCGCATAATGACATATTTAAGCTAAATGTCAGTCTGGGAAACGTATTTACTGTATTTACTGAAATACCTCTCCTTGTGTAGGTATTTTGTCATATATTTGAGAGAAAGCTAAAAATAAAGGAAATAGGATGACATATAATAACCTGCCTGACCTTCTTAAAAGTGCATGCAATCCTTTGCGATACCTCATATTCTGCCACATATTTGCTTTCTTCCTCATGCAATATGAGGCAGCTTTCAATTTACTTAGAAATCAATGTTAGAAGGAAAGAATTTTAAAGTGGGAACACCACTGAATAAATCTGAACTCTGTAGGAGGTAAAGTTTATTTAAAAATTGTAGTATGTGATAATCATTTTTAAGTATGTGATCAAATTTGATGGGATTTCCAGCAGTAAAAAAATCAGTTCTAAAACCAAACCTGATTTTTTAGAAAATTTAAATCAGTCTTACTCATTGTAGAGTTTCCTCAAAAACTTTGTCTTAAAGTGTCATTTTAAAATAATAGAGCTATTAAAACAGTATAACTGCTATTTTAGTGTTCTAAAATACAGTATGAATACTGATAGTTTAAAATAAAGTGGAGGAAGGAAAAGTAGAGAAAGAAATGCCAATTCCAGTCAAAGCTTTATTTGCCAAATTTTTCTTAGATTGAATTTTACCAAGTTACAAATTCTTGTAAATAGAATCTATAATGGAAATTCTGAGAGACTTCTGCCTAGAGTGGCATTGTGGGATGCTGCTGTGATGCTACTGTAATGTAATTATTAAATTGTTGCAAAGTGCTGTTTTTTGCCTTAAATTTTTATTTTGTGTGTCTTAAAAACTATAAAATCAAACGTATTAAGATTTTAATGCTGGGCACGCTTGGCATGAGGTAATCTGTTTTTATTTTTACAAAGTTGTAATATAACTATGCAAGTGTGTTTATTAAAAGGACACAAACTACATTACTTGTATTGTGTATTTCTTTGGAAGCATCCTTTAAAACTTATTTTTGGTTGTTTATATGTAGTCATGATTGAATTTCTTTGGAATTTCTCTTTTTCCTTAATGTAGTCTCTGGATACAGACCAACAAATCCTTTATATCACAGGGGGCAAAAGAAATTTTTAAGTGGTCAAGATTGAAGTAATTTGATCCTAGACAATCATAATGTATTTCAAAAGCAAAAGAAATGTTGATTTGAAAGTAAAGGAAAATGTCTAGGGTAATAGTCTACTCTGTTACTTATAATTTGTACTGCAACTTTTTTCTAAAAAGATTAGAACGAATTTACAAGTTGATAGTCATTGCAAATGTAATTAAGACATTTTAGTACAAAGGAAGTCTATATAAAAGAAACTGCCGTGAATGCTTAAACAGTATATTACACCTAAGTGATCAAGTTGCTGATTTCACCTCTACTGAAGAAGAAAAAAAAGAAACAGATCAAAATTCAACCCATCCATCAATGTTTGGCATAAATAACCTCTTTCCATAAAAACCTTTCTGCATCTCTGGAAAGTCATTCAACTAACTTGTATGGAGCATTTGCATAAGGCCAAGATGTTACAATATGCACAGAATATGGAAATGAGTGTGGGATGGTCCTAGCCTCAGGGAGTACCTAGCTCTGTGAGAGGATCTGGCACATAAGCAGGTATTTACTAGACACCAAGAGAGTACAGAGAAGGAATGCCTGATTCAACCATAGATTGGTGAATTAGAGAAGACTTCCTGGAGGAGGCAGCCACCAGATCCCTAGGTAAGAGTAGGCCAGATTGGAGGGTGGAATGGCGGAGAGTATGATAAAGACAAAGACATAGCATAGGTGCAGGAGTGGGGAGGTGTGATTATGAGCAGTTCACTAATGCTAGAGGGGAAAAGCAAAGCCAGGAACAGGGAGAGCTCCTGAGGCTAAATCAGAGATTCAGTAGCTTGGCTGCTCATTGTAATCATCTGGGAAGCTTAACAAAGATATTGATGCCTGACTTAAATGGCCTAAAGAGGGTCCTCAGTGTGGGGATTTTTTTAGAGCTCACCAGATGATTTTGTTTTAAACATTCTTATTGATTTCAGAGAGGAAGGGAGAGAGAGAGAGAAACATCAATGATGAGAGAATCATTGATTGGCTGCCCCTTGCATGCCCCCCCACTGGGGATGGAGCCAGCAACCTGGGCATGAGCCCTGACCGGAAATCAAACTGTCACCTCCTGGTTCATAGGTCGACAGTCAACCACTGAGCCACACCAGCTGGGCTCACCAGATGATTCTGATATGAAGCCAAGATGGAGAAAAAGTGACAAAACAGTTAAGAATTGCTTTTGAGGGGAAATTGGCAGGAGTTGGGGATTGGTGGGGATTGGGCAAGTGGAAGAATCAATATCTTGGTGACAGGGTGAATAATGGTGCCACCAACTGCAGTAAAGAATCAGAGTTGGGGAAGAAGATGAGTTTGGTTTTGACCACCAAGTTCCTGTGGGGCATTCAGGTAGGACTGTCCAGCAGGCAGTCAGATATAACTACGACATACAGCATCAGATGTACATCAGCTGGGGGAATGAATAGGATGGTGGTTGAGCCAGTAAAGGTAAATGAGGTAACTGGGGGAGAAAATCAGACCCCTTAAAGGTATTAGCAGTTAAGCGTTGGATAGTGAAAGAAACCCATGGAGACAGGAAACAGATTCCAGGAGAACAAAGATTATTGTGTTAATATTGCCACCATCTATACTAATAAAAGGGTAATATGCTAATTAGACCAAGTCTACTGGACATCTTCCAGACGTCTGAATTCCGGACAGTTAAGGGGCAACCAGGCCGGCAGGGGGGAGTTAGGGGGCAACCAGGTTGACCAGGGACCAGTTAGGGGGTGACCAGGCTGGCAAGGGACCAGTTAGGGGGCAGTCAGGCCAGCAAGCAGAGGCAGTTAGGGGCGATCAGGCAGGCTGACAGGGGAGTAGTTAGGGGGCAACCAGGCCGGCAGGGGGGCAGTTAGGGGGCAACTAGGCCAGCAGGGGACTAATTAGGGGGCTATTAGGCCGGCAAGCAGAGGCAGTTAGGGGTGATCAGGCAGGCTGGCAGGGGAGCAGTTAGGGAGCAACCAGGCCAACAGGGGGGCAGTTAGGGGGCAACTAGGCCAGCAGGGGGGCAGTTAAGGGGCAACTAGGCCAGCAGGGGACCAATTAGGGGGCTATTAGGCCGGCAAGCAGAGGCAGTTAGGGGTGATCAGGAAGGCAGGTAGAGTGGTTAGGGGCAATCAGGCAGGCAGGCAGGCTAGCAGTTAGGAGCCAGTGGTCCCGGATTGTGAGAGGGATGTTCAACTGCCTAAACAGGCAGTCGGACATTCCTTGAGGGGTCCTGGATTGGAGAAGGTGCAGGCCGGGCTGAGGGACCCCCACACACACATGAATTTTGTGCACCAGGCCTCTAGTTTTTTATAAAATGAAGTCTGGCTGCACAGCCATCACTCATAACAGTAAAAAGAAGGAACGTACTTTTTATTGAGTACTCAATAGTCTGGGTGCTTTTCTAAGGTCCTCAAACGTATTACTTCATTATTAGTTTCTTTTTACAGATATGGAAGTTAAAACAGATTAAGTTACTTGTCCACGGTTAGATAGCTAGTAAGTGGTGGAGCTGGCTCCAGTGGTCTGGCTCCAGAGTCCATGCTCTTAACCTCTCACTAAGGCAGAGTGTGCCGATATTGCCATCATTTCTATAAGAATGAAGTTCCTGCAGTACAACCACCACTTGAACCACTGAGAAGAAAAGAGGGAAAGTCTGCTGCATGCACAGAGTTTTCCCTGTAAAATCTGTACACAGAGAAGAGACAATGAGGCAACAACTGAATATAATAAACAAGGACAGGAATCCATAGGCATGGTACCCAGAAAGATAAAGCTGAACAAAATCACTTTTTTTCAAGAACAGCTTTATTGAGATGTAATGTATATACCATACAATCCCCCCAGGTTACAATTCAGTGGTTTTTAGTATATTCACAGAGTTGTGCAACCATTACCACACTTACATAACGTTTTCATCACCTCAAAAAGAAACCATATACCCTTTAGCTTTCACCCTCCTATCTTCCTGTGCACCCCCACTCCAGCCAGAGGCAACCACTGATAACCTGCTTACTGTCTCCATATGTTTGCCTATTCTCGACATATCATGAAAAATGGAATCATAAAATGTGGAGGTTTTTTATGTTTGGCTTATGTCACTTAGCATAATGTTTTCTAGATACAGCCATGCTGCAGCCTGGATCAGTGCTTCATTCCTTCCTATGGCCAAATAATATTCCATTGTATGGATATACTATATTTTGTTTTTTCATTCATTAGTTGATGTATGTTTGGGTTGTTTCTACTTTTTTTTTTATTACAAAGAATGCTGCTATGAACATTTGTGTACATGTTTTTGTGTGGATCTGTGTTCCATTACTCTTAAGTATATACCTCGGAGTGGAATTGCTGGGTCGAATGGTAATTCTATATTTAACTTTTCGAGGAACTGCCAGACTGTTTTCCAAAGTGGCTCTACCATTTTACATTCCAACCAGCACTGTTATAAGGGTTTCTGTTTCTCCTCAAACTTGCCACCACTTGTTATTATCTGACTTTGTTAAAGCCATCCTTTTGGGTGTGAAGTGACATCTCATTGTTGTTTTGATTTGCATCCTCTTGATAACTAATGATGTTGAACATCTTTTCATGAGCTTTTTGGTCATTTGTGTATCTTCTTTGGAGAAATGTGTATTCAGATCCTTTGCCCATTTTTAAAATTTTTTTTTCTTTATTGATTAAGGTATTACATATGTGTCCTTATCCTCCTGTTGCCCCCGGACCTCCCCATTTGTGCCCTCACTCCCCTGGAGTCTCTGTCCATTGGTTAGGCTTATATGCGTGGAAACAAGTCCTTTGGTTGATCTTTTCCCCTCCCTCCCACCCTCCCCTGCCTTTCCTCTGAGGTTTGACAGTCTGATCGATGCTTCTCTGTCTCTGTATCTATTTTTGTCATCAGTTTATGTTGTTCATTATATTCCACAAATGAGTGAGATCATGTGATATTTATCTTTCTCTGATTGACTTATTTCGATTAGCATAATGCTCTCCAAGTTCCAACTATGCTGTTGCAAATGATAGAAGTTCCTTCCTTTTTACAGCAGCCTAGTATTCCATTGTGTAGATGTACCAGTTTTGTAATCCACTCATCTGCTGATGGGCACTTAGGCTGTTTCCAAATCTTAGCTATGGTAAATTGTGCTGCTATGAACTTAGGGGTGCATATATCCTTTCTAATTGGTGTTTCTAGTTTCTTGGGATATATTCCTAGAAGTGGGATCACTGGGTCAAATGGGAGTTCTATTTTTAACTTTTTGAGGAAACTCCATACTGTTCTCCGCAGTGGCTGCACCAGTCTGCATTCCCATCAGCAGTGAAGGAGGATTCCTTTTTCTCCGCATCCTCGCCAGCACTTGTTGTTTGTTCATTTGTTGATGATAGCCATTCTGACAGGTGTAATATGGTACCTCATTGTCATTTTGATTTGCATCTCTCAGATGATTAGTGACTTTGAGCATGTTTTCATATGTCTTTTGGCTTTCTGTATGTCCTCTTTCAAAAAGTATCTATTCAGGTCCGTTGCCCATTGTTTGATTGGGTTGTTTGTCTTCCTTTTGTTAAGTTGTATGAGTTCCCTGTAAATGTTGGAGAGTAAACCCTTATTGGAGATAACATTGCTTTGCCCATTTTTAAATTGAGTAGTTTATCTTCATAATCGCTTTTTAAGCTTTTTTTTAAACAAGAACAACAAGTTTTGAAAGATGTGCTTAAGAGAGATGTCTTAATGCTGTTGTCAAAAGGAAAAATTACTTAAAGAGATTGATAAAATCAGCCCTAGCAGGTTTGGCTCAGTGGATAGAGTAGGCTATTCAGTAATACTGATTAAAATATATATATATG